GAGGTGATGGCCACAGTCCACCCAGGTCAGCTGATCTGGGATGCAGGCAGCGAGCGATGCGAGCTCTGGGAGGCCGAAAGGAGGGTACCCAGTGCCTGTTCTGCCCCCACGTCTGCCCTGCTTCTACTGTCACACCTGCTGCCTCCTCCTTCATGGCCCAGGAACAGCATACAGCTCCTTCTTTCCTCTGTACACACCACACTGTCTCTGGCCTCCGTGCTTTGGCACACACAGCTCCGACTGCCTGTAGTGTCTTGTAATGAATGCTGTTTCTCTCTATTTCTGTCAAGCTTGCTTGTTTATTTTATCCTTTCATACTTGCTCTAGAAAGTTTTCCCACATGGGATGGCTGACCGGTGGGATGCGCCGTACACACGTGTGCATGCAACACCCACAGATACCATCATGCCACCCACCCACACCTCCTGCTTGCATCTACTGCAGGAGTCTCTCAGTAGCCAAGGAGGCCCGTGGGGGCCATCAGCTTCAGTGCACTGCGTGGCGGCTCTCAGGCCCTCATTCCCCAGCCCACTGCTCTGTTTCCGTCAGCACCCTCCCCTTTGCTTCACAGCAGGCAGAACACATTTCTTTGCCTCAGTGACTTTGAGTTTGGGCATGGGGTTTACTTTGGCTGGTGACAGAGGCAGAAGTTTTCAATGTGCTTGTGTGGCTTGGCTTGTCTCCTTGGGTGCATGTGACTTACCCTCAGAGGAACATATCCCAGGGTAGCACTGGTCCAAGGAAAGGAAACGGTAGAGCCCTCGGGTCTAGACAATAACCCACCCTGGTCCTTGGTGCTGCCAACCCTTATGGCCTGATATGAATTCACCTGAAAACCCCCATTTTGAATGAGGAAAGCAGACATTTTCCTTGGCTTTATAAGCCACCAAGCTGAGGAGCATGCTTGTTAGGTAGTGCCCTGCCATGACAGCTAAGACCTCCTTCATCCCTGTGCTCCCAAGCTTGCCGCTGGCTTGGGTGGAACGCCAAGGATGCAAGTCAAGTCTTTGAACCAACCCATGGACAGCATGCATCTGCCCTCCTGGGTGCACTGTGTCAAAGCTCTGCTAAAATGGTTAGAGGAAAAGGAAGTTGAGATGGGACCGGCACGGAGAGGAAATGCAAATTTAGGCTGTGAAATCTCTGGTCCACAGCTCACTGGCTTCCTGGCCCATGTGGAGCCGGGCTGGTGGGGGACCCTTGGAGGTTTGTTGCTGTGTGGGCGAGTCCCTCTCCGTGAAACCGCCTTGCTGGGAGGAAGGTCACATGCAGTCACAAATGTGCCACATGGAGGAGGGGATGGAGCTGCGCAGCCAGCCCTGCTGCCGGCTGCATGCAACAGCCTAAGTTATCTTAGCTGATGCCTGAATGCACAAAAGAATGTTCTAGCTGAACCAAGTCAGTCTCGTGAGGAAATGATGCATTTGTCTTAAGTCATTCAGTTGTGCAGGTGGCTTGTCATACAAGATAAACCACTATATCAATGAAACTCTTTATAAATATGTCAAGTGTATGATTGTTATTAATTATTATTTTTATTCTTGAACAGTTTGAGAGGGAGTGGACAGGGACAGTGAGCATGTGGCTCAAATGAGTGGAAGAGCCTTTCACACCACCACGGTGCAGTTATAACCCTGGAGATGGAACCTAACAATCTTTCTTTTCTGTTCTTTTTCTTTCCTTTTCTCTTTCTTTCTTCCTTTCTTTCTTCTCCAGTTTCAGGATCCAGTTGAGGAAGACACTCTCCCTGAGGTGGGTATATGAGTTTCAAACATTATGTAACAAGTGCCCCCAGGCTCAGAGACTTAAAATAGTACTTAGGTGCTGGGTGCTCCAAGTAGGGGTTAGGATGCCAGGTGGATCTGGGTTCTGCTCCTGGCTCCGGCCAGCGCACGCCCTGGGAGGCAGGAGTGCTTGGGTCCCTGCACCCATGTGGCAGCTAAAGCTGGGGCCTGGTTGCTGCAGGCACTTGGAGTGAAGCCATGGATGGAAGATCTCTCTGTGTCTTTGTCTCTCAAATAAAATGAAGATAAATTTAAAACTTTTTACAGATTTATTTATTTTTATTGAAAAGGAAGAAGAGACAGAGAGAAAGATCTTCTGTCTGTTGGATCGCTTCCTAAGTGGCCACAAAGCCAGAGCTGAGTTGATCTGAAGCCAGGGGCCTGGAGCTTCTTCTGGGTCTCCCATGCGGGTGCAGGGTCCCAAGGCTTTGGGCCGTCCTCAACTGCTTTCCCAGGCCACAAGCAGGGAGCTGGATGGGAAATGAAGTAGCTGAGACACGAATTGGCACCCATATGGGATTCCGGCATGTGCAAGGCAAGGTTTAGCCACTGAGCCATTGCAAAAGGCCCTAAAACCCTTTTTTAAAAAGTGATACTCTTCCCCTGAGCTCCTGAGTGGAGGGAGTCTGGTGTCAGCTGTCACTCAGCTCCAGGGGAGGCTGGCCACCACTGGTCCCCGGGCTTGCAGCCGTGGCTCTTTGTTGCCCTTTGGCCCTGAGAGGCTTGCCTGGGTTCCCAGAAGCCAGGCCTCTCCTTTGCTTGCTCACCAGCTCACAAGCTGAGGTGGACCACAGAGAGAACCCGAGCAAGATTCAGGTCTTTAGATCCCATAAATGGTACCCAGCAGTGAAGCGAATTCGTCTTTCCCATGCCTTCTGTGTAGAACAGGCCTTATTCTTGGTTTCAACATGTAAGTATTTGGTTTGGGTCTGTGGGCTGTGTCCTCATAAACCCAGGGGATGTATTTTTCAGCAGGCACGCTCATGCTCAGCCTTGGGACCTCAAGGTGCCTCTGTGAGGGGGCTGTCCCCTTTGTCAAGGATGACATTCACCAGGTGACTAGTGGCATGCGTGCACTGCACTCTCACCGCTCTGCAGTTCTACCTGGGCCTGGAAAGTTCTTTCAAACAGGGAAAAATTACACCTGTGGCTGGACGTTAAAGTCACCAGTTGGGATGTGCTAGCAGCTCATAGCAGAACGCCTAACCTAAGTCCTGGCTGCTCTGCTTTGGCTCCAGCTGCTTGCTGATGTGCAGGATGGATGGCTCAAGTACGTGGATCCCTGCCATCCATGTGGGAGACTCCTGGATTCCTGGAGCATCTGGGGAGTAAATCAGAGGATGGAAGATCTCTCTTCTCTCTGTGTCATCCTGATTTTCAAATGAGATGAAAATCGGTAAAATCAAATTACTTTTTTATTAACTAATTTTTAAAAATCAAATTTAGAATAAAATTTTAAAAAGGAACTGATTGGTTTGGCTCAGAAATTGAGGGAAGATGTTGAACCTGAAATCTCCTTTAGGATGCAACTTTGGGACGCCCTGGCTCAGACCTTCCCTGGAACTCCCGTTGGCACCACAGGTGTCCTCCATGTCCAGCTCTCCATGTGAGTGCCCGAGCACACACTCGCTCACCTCTGCAGGGCTATTTCTCCACTAGGGACAAGCTCCAGCTGCATCTCCAAGGCCCACAGACTGAACATCTGCAGCCCCTCTCCTCAGCCAGCTCCCCAAGTCCCTGCCATCCATCTTCACTAGACAGAAGGTGGGACTGCCACTAGCTCACCTCTTTGGACTCCAGCACCCTATGCATGCTCAGTAAGGGTTGAGAGAATGCAGGAACCTCTCTGTGAAACCTCACTGCCCAGCCGCACACAGTCCCACTGTCTGTGACTTGAGAGTCACGTGGTTTTAGTTTGTGGCCTTTTATCCCCCCCGCAGTGCACCACAAAGCAGCAGCAATAAAATCCAACTGCTTGTTCCTGAGTCCCAGTGGGAAGGCCTCCCTGGCAGGCCAGCAGGTGCACTCTGGGACAGCCCCTCTACAGCCCTGTAGGGCAGAAATAGTGGCTCCTGCACTGCCCCCCTCCAGAAGAGGCAGAAATACCTGCAGGAGCCTAGAGGCAACACGGAAAGGTGCTGCTTCCAGCAGCCGGGAGGTCAGCCTGGGCATGGATTCTCCTGGTCTCCAGTTCTCCATAACAGGTCACAGAACTGCTACTAATAGAACCAAGGCATCCCATCGGGTTTTTCTGCTAGAGGAGGATTCTCAGCTCTCCGGTCATGTGCTTGGCCCAGGCTGCCTTGGTAGACCAGGTAGGAAGGGACCTCTGATGCCCAGCATGGACCCTGATGCTCAGTTCTCCCCATTACCTCCTTCTGCAAGTGGCAGGGGCAGGCTAAGCAGGATGGCCAGGTTTTTTTCTTCTCTGGAAGATCCTAATTCTCTTTCCCAGGAGTTAACTTATTGTGTCTAACAAAATTTATGCCACTCCACTAAGTCAGAATGCTGTTTCCAGGAGGCCCCATAATAGGAAGTTCTGGCGGAGACGTGCCTAGCATCAGACCTTCTAGGATCAGCCACAGAAGGAGGCCAGGTTTGCGTCCCAATCCTGAGCCCTGCACTGTGTCCCAACAGAACACCGTTTGTGCCCAGGGGTTGCTGCCTCACACACGGGGAGCAGCCAGGACCGCAGCCAGCCCGGGCCACAGCTGCCTGGAGGGTCCCAAGGGAACATCAAGTGGACTCCACTGCCTTCCCGCTCCCTGGGTCTTGTCATTCGGAGAGCCCTGTGCTGATGTAGCAAAAAACCACGAAAGGGTTTTGGGGTGACCTGTTGTCTCCTAAAGTGTCTGGAAGCCAGGAGGGGCAGGGAAGTCCGTCATATGTACTCCTGTCCCCGGGATGGGGGCGGCTCGGGGAAATCCTGGCCGGCGTAAAGAGCGCAGACCAGCCGCGCAGCCCGTGGGTCCCTGGGGAGGCGGCTTGGGCGGCGGGAAGCCGCGGCCGCCCGGGCCCTGAGCTCCTCCCAGCCTCGCCGGGAGGCGTGGGGGGGATCCGAGAGGCCCCCAGGCCAATCCCCAGGGACGCGGGGCCCAGGCACCGTGCCCGGAACAAAGGCCCGCAGAGGGGTCCGGGAGAGGCGGCTCCCCGGGGGCCGGGGCAGGGGCGGGTCCCCTCTCCGCCAGCTCCTCCCTCGCCTCCTCTTCCTCCCCGGAGAGGCCAGGCCCGCGCGCAGCCCCGGCAGCGTCAACTACTCCAACGATTTCCAAGTAGTCGGGCGTGCAGGGGTGGGAGCTGGGTGGGGTGAGGAAGAAGAGGAGGAGGAGGGCTCCCGGACGCCTTGGACGTGGTTCAGGAATCCGCCGCTACCGCCGCCGTGGCCGGAGCCGGGAGGGTTCGGGGCAGGACCACTCGCTCGCCCGCTTGCTGCGCGGGACGGCGCCCGCCTGGCGCCGCTTCCCGCCGGGCTTGCGGACCGGCCCTCGTTCGCAGCCCGCCGTCGCCCTCTGCGGGGAGGCGCAGGACCCCGGCGCTGCGGGCGCCGAGGCCCCTCCGGCTGCGATCTTCCGAGAGAACGGAGAAGTTGTGAACGGATGCTGCCCGCCCCGGACCGCAGCCGCGGAGACACCGATCCGCCCGCGCCAGAGGCGGCGGGGCAGCCGCGGTAAGTGGGGCGCCAGGGTCCGGGAACCGCCAGCCGGAGCGGGGAGGCCGCCTAGACAAGCGCCTCCAACCTTTCGTGTCCCGCAAGCGCCAAACTTTTCAAGATGCAGAGGATGGGAGAGGAGAAAACTCCTGGCGCGGGGCGAAACCCATGAGGCTGTCCCCAGCTGCGGCACCGGGTGCCATTCACCGGGTACCCCTGGATCCTCACCGCTCTGGGCGCACGCACCACGCGTGTCGCGGGACTCAGAGCAAGTTCCTGCAAGCGCGGAGTCTGGACTTTTAAACCAGACACATCCTCTGGCTACTTCGTGAACGCGCAGTCCCCAAGGAGAGCCAGGGCCCAAGGAGTTGGGGGTTCCCCAGAGGAAATCGACGTTGCGGGCGGTCCTTGGGCTCCACAGGAGCGGGCTTGGACTGTAACTCTGGGTGATGTGTCTGGGCGTGCGCAGCCCTTCCGGGGGCGAGGCTCGGGGACAGGAGCAAGTGATTCAGAAACTCAGGCCTGGGGAGCCGCGTGGGGAAAGCAGACGGGGCCCCTGCTTTGGGCCAGCTGGACTCCGGCGGTGACAGGCTCCAGAGGGAAGTGGAGACCCTTCCCCCAGCGGATGTACTTCCTCCCAGGGCTTTCACGGGGAAGGGTCTAGGAGATTCCGGCCCTGGGTAGTGTGTGTAAAGAGCCTGTGGGAAGATGAAGACTGGAAGGTCAGCAAGAGGCCGGCCCTGTTAGGAGGGCTGCTTTTCCTTGCACCTGAGATTGCCTTTGGGGTCTGGTGCGCAGGGACCTGGGGCCTGAGAATATTCTAAGGGTTTTCCGGGGCTAGTGCCCAACCTGGTGGATGTTCCACTGAGAAGCCGTGATGCCAGTAATTAGTATTTGATATGGACTCAAGTGGCCCAAGAGGGCAGCAGGGACTTTTGTGACCATGGCTGGTGCAGTGGGAGTAGTGTGCGGTTTTGCAGGTTCACTGGGGGGTCTCAGTAGGAGGAGATGGTTTTCAGTTTGTAGCAGAGGAAGGAGTGAAGCAGGGCCTAGGTAAGTGCCAGGCTACGGGTGGTGGGGGGAGGCAGAGGGACCCCTGGAACCGCACTGGTGTCTGCGCTCAGACCCAGCTCTCCACAACCTGGCTGGAGGTGGGTCTCATGAAGTGCAAGGGGCTCAATCCTCCTATGGCAGTGATTTGGCTCCAGGGTGGCAGGGCAGTGGCCGTGCTTGCACCGGGTGTCCATTGGGTTCGCTGGCCAGCTGGTGCAAGCTTCCAGAGGAGCAGACACATCTCTTGTGCCTGCCTCTGGGATGGAGCCAGGACAGGTCACCACAGAGGCCTGTCATTTGCACCCCCTAGGGCAGCACTGTGCCTTGGCTGTGCGTGAGGGCTTCCCTCCCCGAGGCTGGAATTAGTAAGCTGTGTGGGTGACACCAGTCCTGAAGGAGAGAGAAGGCGAGGTGTGCTTGGCCAGCCCTGATTTCACATGGCACTGTAAGACTGCATCCGGTCACACCGTTACCGTTCCACCTTGTCATTGAGGTGCTGTGCACCTGTTAGGGTCTGCTGAAGCCGTTACAGCGCTCTGCAATAACATCTCACCCCATTTTGTGCAGGTTAGGAAACGGACTCAGAAGAGGTGGGTTACCCAGCTGGTGAAAAGCAAAGTCAGGATTTGAACCTGGAAAGTCTGACTCCAGAACTGGTGCCACGTCCACTGGGCTGGGCTGTTTGTAGATTTCTACTGGTTCTCCATGACAACCAGGAAACCAAGTTGAGGCTGCTTGCTAAGGTGGCCCTCTTTCCAGACATCCTCTGCCAGGCCTGGGCTAGACCGTGGACTATGGGAATCAAAGGCCGGGTGGTCCCAGGCTGCTGGGATGGTCAGGGGCTTGGGGGTGGATTTGGCAGGCGGAGCAGGCAGTAATTCCGCGAAGAAATGATTCGCTGCTTATCTGAGAACTGGGGACAGTGCTGCCATATGTGACCATACGTTAGGGAAGAAATGGCCAGGTGAGGGGAAGCCTGGTTGTACGAATGACTGTGGTTCCGATTCTGGTGGGTTCACATGTTCCTGTCCCCTGTGGCCTAAAGTGGAGTTGTCTGTTACCTGGGAAATTGGTCCTCACAGACCACCTATTATGTGGAGGGAAGCTGAACTCTGTGGCAAAGTTGGGTCACCAGACGAGATGGATCAGACCAAGCTGGGCAGTCGGGAAGGGGGTGACAGTGTGGTAACCTGGTCCCTGGCTTGTGTGTTCACACACGCCCCGAGGAGGGACGAAAGCTCTCTGTCGGCCCCACCTTGCAGATGAGCTGAGGCTGGGAGAACTGTGGTGCCTGTACCAGGACCTGGAGCTAGGAGCAGCCATGCCTGGGGCGACTGAATGCGCAGTCTAGCTGCCATTTCCTTCTGGGGCTAAGAGGTCTGCTGGCTCAATCCAGCACTGGAGCCTGCGGTGCAGGTGTCTCTTGGATGGGGAAACTAGGGGTATTGGATGAGCACTGCCCAGCTCACCTCTGCTCCTCTCTCATGGGAAGCCAACCTGCGTGAGTCCCAGAGCTCTTGCAGCACCAAGCCACAGAGCTGCTGGACTGCTCTGCCTGGGCCAGTGGCACCCAGGAGCTGTCATACCTGAGGGGCCCAGACCATTGTACCCCGACTCTGGCTCACTGCCTGTCACACAGATATGCTTGGGGAGGTTGTCAGGTGCAGTGCAGGAAGCCACTGTCCCCACATAGGGCAGCCCAGGATGTCTTGGATGGGAGGAGGCCCTCCAGGAAGACTCTGAGGTAGTACGTAGCAGGACATAGTCCTGGGGCAGAAGCAGGAGCTGCCACCTTATCTCTCTGTTGTGTCCTGAGACGGGTGTGGGCCTGCCCTGGCAGGCTGGATACACTTTGGGCATCTGTCTCCAACATCCCAAATCTGGCTGCCAGCGTGGAGGGAGGGGGTCGCTGCCAGGCTCTGTCTGCCCCTGCCCTCCATCCCTTCTGTGTCCCCGCCTGCTCGCAAAGATGGCTTTGTGTTGAGAAAATACATCCACTGGGGACTGACTGGGAGGACTCTGAGAGGCATCCGGAGGGAAGGTGTGGAAAGCAAACAAGCTGGTTCCTAACTCAGGCCTGTCCTGATGCCACGGGCCAACCACACCCGCCCCGGGGAGGCAAGCTTCCAGGGTCTTATTTGGCTTCCTGTGGTTACACCTGCCCCTCCCACCCCGCCCGCCACGCCCTCTCAGCTTCGGGAGCCTCAAAAGCCAGGAAGCAAGCCCTTCACCAGCCATTGCAGGATGCAGGAGGCTGGCGCAGGAGGATCCTGTGTGAGGAAAGAGCTGCCTTTCTCTACACCCCGCCCCGGGGACTCATAGCTGAACGCGGCTCTCTTGGTAGTTGGGTGAGTCTGACTTTATTGGTCCAGAACGGTGGGGCCCAGGATGTCAGCAGGAAGCAGGACTGGAAGCAGAGCAGGTGGGGCTCAGCTACGGGATGTCGACAGCCCAGCAAGAAAAACGGTTCTTGGCTTTAAAACCTGCGCCCTTACACTGCAGTTTGCGATCCCAGCGAGTTTCTCTCTGTCTCCCTGTTGAACTAGCTCCTCTCCAGAGTGCATTGTCCAGAAGCCATGTGTCCCTGTTCCCCTTTGGCAACAGGGGTTTTCAAACTAGGTTCCCTGGAGGCCTAGAGTCCCAGCGGGCACTTAGAAACCTGATAGGAGGGGTGGCTGGGGCTCACCTTTCTCTGATCTGCTCCACGTTACTGGGCTTCCAAGGAAAATTCTGGTTCACAAGAAGGCTCCAAGAGCTTAGCTGTGAGCCTCTGACGTGCCACGCTGCCACTTGGTGCCTGTGCCAGCTCACTCAGCTACCTGGGATTTGGCCCGGGCCCTCTGCTCTCCCCCTTGTCCCCTCTTCTCCCTTCCTCTCCGGCTGCCTCACCATTTGCAGGCTTCTGGAAAGTGCTAACGTGTCTGAGTCCAAAGCAGCACTATCTGGGGAAATATTTTGCAAACGAACTTGGGCCACCCCCTGCCTAAGACTGTACTAGTTTTCAGCAAAGAATTTCACAACTCTGGTCACACTGGCCCAGGCCCCAACTCTCTTCTGGAGACATGCAGAGCCTTCTTTGGGAGACAGAGGGGAGGCCCAGGGACAGACGGGGCTGAAGAGGTCTGGAGATGAGAACCTGTGAGTCACAAGGGGGTGTTCTCACTAACAGACCTGTGACCAGTGCTGGGCGCAGTCTGAGATGCTCCTTCTCTTTCCCTCTTCTTGCCACCCTGTCGGGGGGAGGGCACACAGGACAGACAGCTTGTGTGCCCTGTGGGCTGCTGGGTTGCTGACCATTTCACAGATGGGAGCACCAAGACAGGATACGTTGCGTCCCTCTACAGTGGCTGCAGCAGAAGTGGGTTTGAGTGCAGCCAGCCTGGAAACCACCTGTGTGTGTGTGTCCTGCTGGGCCCGCAAGAGCATTGTCACCTAGCCATGGCTGGGTGGGCCACTGGGGAGGCCACATGAGGACATATGTACCTTGGGACCCACCCTAGGTCTGACCCTGGCATGCACAGTGCCATGAGCAGCCCCCTTGGCAAGGCCCAGCTTTCTGTTCAGCTGTCCCCTGCCTCTGGGTCCTGGTCTCAAGATGTGGTGGCAGGGGGCAGCCATGGGGTAGGGTGGACTGGCAGATTGGGGGTCTCTGCTCCATGGATGTTCCAGGGAGACTTCGTCCTCTTTCCCCCTTGCCGTTTCCCCGTCCCCTCCAGGAGGTAGCTTGGAGCTGCCTGAGCACAATGCTGGCTTCCCCAGGCCCTGCGAGCTTCCAGAACACGTATTTCACGGGCCCTGGCTTCCTGGATGCCCCCCCACCCTGCCTTGTGCAGCCTTTCCCTTCATCACTCCTGGTACTGGGTAAGGGCCTATCTGCAAGTGAGCTCACCGCTTGGGGATTGATACTTGCTCCTGTGGTCCCCACTGTGTGCTGAGCTCTGCCAGGCAGCACCACGTCCTCCTTG